GCGGCCCTCCTCCCGTTTCCCCCTCTTCGGAACGAGTAGGTCTCGCCGGGGCCGTTTGGCGTGCGCTCGCGCGTGCTGGCCGGGCGCGTCGAGGCGACCGCGTGGGTGATGCGTTCAGCGGCTGCGAAGGAGGAGGAGGAAGAGGAGGAGGAGCAGGGAGGAGGAGGGGAAGGGGGGAGGGGGGGAGGGGGAGGAGGAGGAGGAGGAGGAGGAGGAGGAGGAGGAGGAGGAAGAGGAGGAGGAGGAAAAAGGGGAGGAGGACGGGGAGGATGAGGAGGGATACTAGTAGCAATAAGAATTCGAAATGAGCAACATAATGCTAAGAACACTAATTTCTAAGGACGATAGTAACAATAATAACCAGACCAATAATAATAACGAAGGAGAAAATAACACTAACAATGATGAGACGAAGAATAATATTGATACTAAGAGTATTGCCAATCATATTAATATTAAGAATATTATTGATAATACGCGAATCGTCGTTATACTACGAAGAAGAAACATATACGAACACCATGAATAATAACATTAATATTAATAATACTATTACTACTAATACTAAGAATAATACGAACGATATTCGTAATACTACTATTACTACTTCTAATACTAATACTAATGCTAATATTAACAATCATATACATACCAATATTCTTAGTAATAGTAATACGAATGATAATACTCATAATAACAATGCCAATGCCAATCATATTAATACTAGTAAACATAATAATAATGGCAACACTAACAATGGCAAAACTACTAGTACTGATACTGATAATGCTAATACTGATAATAGTTTTAATGATACTAGTATTAATATTAGCAATACTAAGATTAATAATACGACTAATAATAATATGACTAATAATACTACGAACAATACACCTCGTATTGATAATAATACTAATAATACTAAGAACACTAATACTAGTACTACTACTAAGAAGAAGAGGAAGTGGAGGATGAGGAGGAGGATGAGGAGGAGGAGTAGGATGAGGAGGAGGAAGGAGGACCAGGACGAGAAAGGAGGAGGAGGGAGGAGGAGGAGAGGAGGAGGATGAGGAAGGAGGAGGAGGAGGAGGAGAAGAAGAAGGAGGAGGAGAGGAGGAGGAGGAGGGAGGAGAGGAGGAGGGAGAGAGAGGAGGAGGAGGGGGTGGAGGAGGAGGAGGAGGAGGGAGGAGGAGGAGGAGGAGGAGGAGGTGGAGGAGGAGGAGGAGGAGGAGGAGGAGGAGGAGGAGGAGGAGGAGAGAGGAGGAGTAGGAGGAGTGCTGCGGGAGTGTTGCCGGCCACAACGGATCACGACGCCCTGCGGTTTCGTGCCGTGGGTCATCCTGGCCGCATCGAGCCGTCCCCGAGCCGAACCAAATCGCCGTGCCGTCCGAGCGATTACCTCAGAAGGGTTTTCAACTTCTTGCACGAACTGATCTCTGCACTGTAGCTGCGAGTGGCCCATCCGAGCCCAGCGGCAACAGACCTGGCTGCCACTGCCGGTATTGGGCTCCAGCTTCGCCCCCCCGCTTCCCACAAGAGGCTTGCCATTGAGCTCCCGACGATCTTGGGCTCCAGTTTCACTTCTCGCTTCTCACAGGAGGCCTGCCACAGAGCTCCCGATGGAGTGCAACCCTGCCTTGCACGGCTGCTCCCCTGCCATTCCGCGCACGAGCTGATCCCAGCGATGTAGTTGGTGAAATGCCCGTCCGATCGCTGCGGCAGCAAAATCTGCTGTCTCTGCCTGGGTTTGCGCACGCCCCGATCCCTGCACTGTAGCAGCAACCGAGACTCGGGCTCCAGCCTCGCCTCCCGCTTCTCGCAGTGGTGTCGGAGCTGCCGCTGCCCTTTTTCTCGCACGAGCTGTTCCGCGTGTTGTAGCTTATTCCCAGCGTTTCACTGATCCAAGCGATGTGTGCTCGACAGTTGCCTTGCGGCCACCAGCATCCCGCTTTGTCTGTTGTAGCTGATGGCGTTGGGCTTGACCGTCTCGCTACGTCTCTATGACGGGTTTGGTCCCCAGCTTCGCCTCCCACTTCTCGCAATACTTTGCGTCGCTCGAGCCTTTTGCCGCCCTTCTCGCACGATCTTCTCCCAACGGTTCGCCCCGTTCCCCGCGGTGTAACTGGTCGTGTCGGGCTCGGACTTCGACTCCCGCCTCTCACATAGTGATACTTCGCGCAATGGTGTGGGATCCGTGCCGTTCTCGTCCGCGCCCACTCGTGGCGACGAGGCTGAGGGAGAAAGGAAGGAGGTGGATGGCAGGGGCTAGGAGCCATGCCAGCCCCTCCCGCCTCTCGCAGGTGACAGATGACTCCACCGTTCGCCACCTTCTCGCATCGCCCTCCTCGCATCGCACGGCGCTGCTTTCGCAGCGCCACGGGCTGCCCCCCGGCGTTGCCGATCGTGGGCCCGCCCGCGCTTCTCGCAGCGCCGGCTTCGGTTGCCACTGCGCACCCCCTCTCTCGCACGGGCTGCTCCCATCGTTGTGGCTGCTCGTGGCCCACCCGCACGTGTCGCTCAGCGCCAGCGTCTGCTGCCACTGCGCGCCCTCGTTTCCGCACGGGTCGCTCCCGGCGTTGCTGATCGTGGCCCGCCCACACCTTCCCCGCAGCGCCAGCGTTGGCTGCCACTGCGCACCCCCTTTCTCGCACGGGCTGCTCACAGCGTTGTGGCTGATCGTGGCCCGCCCGCGCGCTTCTCGCAGCGCCTGCGTCGGCTGCCACTGCGCACCCCCTTTCTCGCACGGACTGCCCCCAGTGTTGTAGCTGATCGTGGCCCACCCGCACGTGTCGTTCAGTTTGCCTCCTGCCTTCCGCACACCAGCCGGAGCCTGCTGCCACTGGTCGCCGCTCTCGCACGCGCGACCCTGAAGCATGCCAAGACCTTGTTCTCAGGATCCCAACGCTGCGGACCAACCGGACTGTTGCGGCTTGACGACCCTGCACCGTGCCAGACCGCCATTCTTGGGGCTTCAACGCCGCGGGCCAACGCAACTGCTGCACCCTCGTAATCCTGAGTCGCTCCACAGCACCATTTCTGGTACGCTGACCGTGGGAATCCGCGAAAACTCTTTGCGCATTTTCGAAACGAATGTGCGCGGCGCTGAGGCGAGAGACGTAGTTTGAAAAGGAGCCGCCCTCAATCCGTGAAGTTCCTGCAGCCGCATTTTGAAATGTGCCGCCCTCATTCTTGGAAAATCTTGGAACCCTTTTAGAAAGAATGTGAGCGGCGCTAAAGCGAGAACTACATTTTGAAAGCGACTCGCCCTCCATCCGTAAAGCTCTTTTTCAGGAACCGCCCTCCATTTGTGAAGTTGTTGCTTAATTTCAAGCTGCAGGGTCATACATGGCGAGTAAGTCTCAGGCGAAGCGCCCGCCCCGTCCTAAACATTGCCTTCGGGGTGCGACGGGGAGAAGTGATTTGTTATACGGAACAGGAATGGAGGAGGAGAAAGAGGAGGAGGAGGAAGACCCGTGTAAACCCAAGAGCCATTAACAATGTTGGAAGTAACCCTTCCTCCAACTCCTTCCTCCATTGAGGGAACTGCCTCGTTGGGAGACAACTGTTTGAAGACCTTGAAGCATGCCAAACCATTGTTCTCGAGATTTCCACGCCATGGAACAACCTGATTGCTGCGTCCTGACGATCTGGAATCGCGCCAGACTTGGGATTTCAACACCGCGAATCAACATAGCTGTTGCACTCGCATAATGCTGAATCCTTTCAAAACGCAATTCTTGGTACGTTGATCATGGGAATCCGTGAAACTCTTGCAACTGTTTAACACGAGTGTGCGCGGCGCTAAGGCGAGAGCCGCACATTGAAAAAGAGTTGCCCTCAATCCGTGAAGCTCTTGTGTATGTTCAAAACGAATGCGCGCGGCGCTAATGCGAGAACCTCATTTTGAAAGGGAAGCGTCCTCCATCCGTGAAACTCTTGCACATTTTCAAAGTGAATGTGCATTGCGCGAAGGCGAGAGCCACATTTCGAAAACGGCCCGCCCTCAATCCGTGAAAGTGTTGCACATAGTTAAAACGAATGTGCGCGGCGCTAATGCGAGAACCACCTTTTGAAAAGGAACCGCCCTCAATATTTGAAGCTCTTGCAAGTTTTAAAACGTATGTACGCGGCGCCAAAGCGAGAACCACATTTTCAAGACGACCCGCCCTCAATCCGTGAACGTTTTGCAAATGTTAAAAAAAGAATGTGCGCTGCGCTATGGCGAGAGCCACATATTGGAAAGGAACCGCCCTCAATCCTTGAAGCTCCTGCAATGTTTTAAAGCGAGCATGCTCGGCCCCAAGGCGAGAGCCGCATTTTGAAAGCAACCCGCCCTCCATCTGTGAAGCTGTTGACATTTGTTCAGCTTTGGAGTCACACATGGTGAGGAAGTCTCAGGCGAAAAGTCCGGCCCACCCTAAAATCTGCCCTCTGGGTGCGACAAGGAAAAGTTATTCATGAGGAGCAAGGAGGAGGAGGAGGAGGAGGAGGAGGAGGAGGAGGAGGAGGAGGAGGAGGAGGAGGAGGAGGAGCAGGCGGAGGAACATCTCAGGAAAATGGGGAGGAGGCCAGCTGCGGCAGCGGGTGCCCTCGCGCAGCGGGCAGTGCGTGAGGCGGAAAGGGAGGGGTGGGGGTTCGGCGAAGGGGGAAATGAGGGGGGGAGGGAAGTGGCGACGACGAGGGCAAGGACGAGCAGGAACCAGCCGACGTTTTCCTGGCCCGCCCTCCTCCCCCTGTCGCCCCCGCGGTCCACCGCCGCCGTCGTCGTCGCCGCCGCCGCCGCCGTCGTAGTTGTCGTCCTCGTCGTCGTCGTCGTCGTCGTCGTCGTCGTCGTCGCCGTCGTCGTCGTCGTGGTGGCGATCGTCATGCTCGTTGTCGCTCGTCGTCCTCGTCGGCGGCGTCGTCGTCGCTGATTCCGTCGTCGTCACCCGCCGCCGTGGTCGCCGCGCGCGTCCGCTGGGCCCCGTCGGTCGGCCCCCGGCCCCCCTGGTCGGCGCAAGGGCCCGGACGCCGGCGAGAGCCCCCTCTCGGAGCTGAGGCGGGCCGCCCGGATCGGGCGTCAAGGCAGGGGGTTGACGGGGAACCGTCTCGGCCTCCAAGGTGGGGTCCGAGTACAGTCGGGGCCCTGAAGAAGGAACCCTTTTCGTTGGGGAGGGGCTCCGTGTTCCTTAGGTGCAGGGAGGCAACATCAAACCTGTAAAGCGTACCCACCCAAAGTGAGCCAGTAAACCGTACCCACGTGTGGAGTGTCGCCCATTGATACATCATATGTAGAGCGACTGATTGCTTACCTGCGTTTCATCATCTTTGTGGGTAGACGGGAGCTCTAGTTGTCCGTCCATCTGGCTTTTCGTTGGGGGGTGGTGGGCTTCCCCTTCCTTTTGAAGAGAAGCGGCTGACAGAGGGCGGAAGTCGGACATCCTACAACACTATCGCTCGACAGCTCCTATCGACACTGTTTGAATCCAGCCATGGTTTGGACGCTAGCTGTGTGCCCACGTATCCATATCGCGCGCGGCTGTGAGTGCAACGCGTACCTTCTTTTTCATCCTCTCTCCGTCTCTGCATCCCTCCGCCCTTCAGTCCCTCCCTCCCTCCGTCAGCCCTCCCTCCTTCCCCCTTTTTCTTCCCGTCTTCTTTCCTCGCTCCTTCGTCTCTCTGCCTCCCTCTTCCTCCCTCCTTCCTCCCCCCTCTTCCTTCCTTCGTCCCTCTTCCTCTTTTCCATTCTCTTCCTCCCTCTTCCTCGTCCCCTCTTCCGTCCTCCCTCCGTCCTTCCAGAGTCCGGCTCCGCCCCTCGCCCCCCCCTATCCTTCGTCCCTGGGTGTCTGGGGCTGTGTCTCTGGAGCTGCTTCGGGGGCCCGCGTCCTGGCATGCTCAGGGGGCTCGGGGTCCTCCTCGGGGTCCGTGTGACCTGGAGGCAGGGCCCCTGCGGAAGGGGGCCTGAATTCCCCTCCGTGCGGAGCAGTGTTCCGCGCTCGTGTTGGAGGCCGGACAGGCCAGGAAAGCGCACCCACGACCCTGGGCAGCGAGCAGACCAGTAAAGCGTACCCAGGGGACGCTATTTCTCTGCGCGGGGAACAGACCAGCAAAGCGTACCCACCCGGGCCTCGGCTCGCTGAAAGGACAGTTGCAGGGATCCCGCCCCCCATGGGCGGCGATCAAGCCAGGAAATCGTACCCGCCCCAGTCTGGGCGGGGAACAGACCAGGAAAGCGTACCCACCAGGGTCTGGGCGGCGAACAGACCAGTAAAGCGTACCCCCCAAACCAGCCGGCGGGCAAGTATTCCGCGAGTCCAGGAACACTGTTCCGGAACTCGCGGGGACGGGGTCCGCGGCGCGGGAGGGGCTCTGGGACGTGGCCCTAGGGAAGCAGGCACTCGCCTGGAGCCCTGTGGGGTTCTCTTCCACCGAGGCAACGGCCCTCGGGCTCCAGGGGACGAACCTGTGGGAGGGGCGAGGAGGCCTTCAGGAATCCCCCGAAGGCGCCGTAGGAGACCGCAGAGCCACCAGGTCGGCCCAAGACCCGATGGCATTGCTTTTGTCTTGGGGCTCAGGCGCAGGCCGCAGCGCCCGCCAGCGCGCGCGGCGACAAGCCAGCCGCAGGCCCGCGTGGGCGTCGCACGTGGCAGATTCGACAACCTCGTTGTCTTCCCTCCTCCCTCCCTTCTCCTTCCCTGCTCCCTTTTTCGTCCTCTGTCCTCCCTCCTTCCGCCCAGTCCTTCCCCCTTCCCCCTTCCCCTCGCGTTGGGGTTGCGCGGGTGTCAGAAAACGTCAACAGAAGTGCACTTGTGCTCGCGCAGTGTAATATTCCCGAGTGAAACTCACACGCGTGTTCTAGCGTTTACAAGTTGGCACGCACGCTGCAAAGAATCTGTGCCGCGTGTTTCGGTGGCCCCTGGGGCCGCGCCACGGGGTTGAGCGAATTGACATAGCCCCCCTGCGTGACTGGCGACCGTGCGTGAGTAGGTCCATGAAACGGTACGCACAGAATACTGCGCGGAATAGCATTCCAAAAAATGCGGAACACCTTCCCGAACTGTGGAAGGTGGGTACGCTTTGCGGTGGGTGCGCTTTACAGGTCCCTTGCCCCCGCCCAAAGGTGTTTCACAGCTTGCCTCAGGTTTTCCTGATGTTCTCGATGGGAAATCGAAGTTTAACTTGTGGAGAAAAGGGGCCTCGTTCCTTTTTTTGGGTTCCTGAGGTCAACGCCCCGACTGTAGATGGGGTCGAAGGGTCGCGCATTCTCGGTTATGTTCTGCTCTGTTGTGTTCTGTCGTCTTTTGTTCTGGCATGCTCTGCTCTGGTAAATATGTTATGTTATGTTCTGGTTGTGGACGGCTCGGATATGTATAGTATATGTTGGTCTGCTCTGCTAGTATGTGTCGCTATGGTCTGCTATCGTGTTGTTTTTTGACGCAATTCCATACTATTAGATGTTTTATCAATATGTGTTATGTCATACTCGGTTATGTTATGTTATGTTGGGTTCTGTCGTCTTCTGTGCTGTCATGCTCTTTTCTGGTATGATTGTTATGTGATGGTATGTTATGCTTTATTTGATCATGACAAAACTATTTTATGTTCCGTCATGTTCGGTCATGCTCGTGTTCAGTTCTGTCACTTTCTGTTGTTTCATGTTGTGTTCTGTCGTGTTCGTCGTCGCTATGCTTTGCTGTTGTGTTAAGAGATGCTTTGTGATACTGTATCATGATATGATATGTTTTGTCATGGTGTATAATAGCATGCTCGGTTCTGTGCTGTTGTGCTTTGTGTTGTCGTCTTCTGGCACGTAATGTTCTGCTATGGTATGTTATGTAATGTTATGTTATGCTCTCTTTTGTTATGACATTGCTACGTTTTGTTCTGCCATGATCTGTCATGATTGCGTTCTGTTTTGTCATGCTTTGTTGTGTCATGTTGTGTTCTGTCGCGGTCGTCGTCGCTATGCCCGGCTGTCGAAATATGTGATGTTATGCGATGCTGTGCCATGAAACAGTCTTTATGAATGTGTGTTATGTTATGCTTGTTCATGCTGTGTTAGGTTGTGTTATGTCGTTTTTTGCTATGCCATATTATGCTCTGGTATGTTATGTAATGTTCTGGTATGCTATACTTTTTTCATGACAATGCTACATTCTGTTCTGCCATGTTCTGTCATGCTCTGTTCCGTTCTGTCATGTTCTGTTCTGTCATGTTGTGGTCTGTCGTGTTCGTCGAGGGCGCGAGGCGAGACACCTGGGATTCTCAGGGATCATCGGGACAACTTGGGGTGTGGCGGCCGCGTTATGCAGGGTGGCGTTGGCTGGGGGGCCTTCTCTTGAAATCTAGCAGCCCCAACCTGTCGCGTTGGGAACAGAGTCGCTTAACCTGTCGTCGGTCTGAGTTGAGAGCACGAGTTCACGGCAAATTGTGATCAAATGATGCGGGAGCGCGAGTCTTGCACGTTGGCAGCGCAGCGCCTCAGTAATTTACGGGGAAGTTCCAAGCGATATTGTAGTGGCCTCCGGCCAGTGCCGTCGATCCGGGGCGCTCCTGATGCTATTGTTGTTGAAGTGGACGATGACGACGACAACGGACGACCATCGGTCGACGAGCGGGATAATTACGACGACGACCGACGAAGGAGTTAATGGCGACCCACCGACGACGACGACGACGACGACGACGACGACGACGACGACGACGACGACGACGACGACGACGACGACGACGACGACGACGACGACGACGACGACTGACGGCGAACGGCTGCCGACGGTCGACGACCGACGACTGGTGACGGCGACGGGTGGAAGGTTCTTCGTTCATCGCTTTCGCTTCCGAGCAATACCAAGTCAGGCCGTGCACCTCTGGCATGGCAGCACGCGAGTGAGCGCCTCTTGGGGCCTCTTGGTTCTTGGGGCTTCTTGGGGGCCTTTGGGGCCTCTTGGGGGCCTCTCGGGGTCCTCTTGGGGGCCTCTTGGGGACCTCTTTGGGGCCTCTCGGGGCCGCTTGGGGGCGCCTCGGGGGCATCTTGGGGGCTCTTGGGGGCATCTTGGGGTGGAGGACTAGAACGGTCCGTTCGGGTTCACCCTCTTGAGGCCATCTTGGGGGCCTCTCGGGGTCGTCTTGGGGGGCCTCCAGGGCTATATTGGGGCCCTCTTGGACCGTGTTGGCTCCTCTTGGGGGCCTCTTGGGCTGTCTTGGGGCGACCTTGGGGGCCTCTTGGACCGTCTTCGACGCTTCTAAGACGGAAAAGGCGATAATGTTAAAATGCCTCAAAGCCTATTCGCAACTTTATTATTGTACCCTCTTGGGGCCCTCTTGGGGGTCCTCTTGGGATCTCCTTGAGGCGTCTCGGAGGCCTCTTGGGCCGTCTTCAGGCCACCTTGGGCGTCCAGGAGCGCTCTTGGGCCGTTTCGAGCGCCTCCTGGACCGTCTTGGTGGCCTCCTGGGCCCCCTTTGTGGCCCGTCTTGGGGCGGTTTGGGATTCCCGGGGGGGGGGGAAGAAAGGGTGGACCCCATGACCCCTCCCCCCCTCCCCCCCCCATACCCCGGCAGAGCCCCCCCGGCCCCCCCCCCAGCAGAGCTGAAGCTCAGGCTGTAGCTTTCTTAAACTCACATGCCAGATCGGCGGATTTCGATTCTTTGGAATTGCAAGAAGTCTCAAGCGCGAGCGTCCTTGAATAATTGTTGAGGACGTCTAAGGCGGGAGCCACTGTTGTTGTAGCCGGGGCCAAGGGTTGCAGTTTGAACATCAGTTCTCTCTCTTTGTCCCTCCTAGCAGGGTGCGAACTCCGGGGGCACACTTCAATTGAACGAGCATATTTGCTTTTCAGACGTGAGATCTTTCGAGTTCCCATCTGGTCCCATCTTTGGGCTGTCCTGGGGGTCAAGAAACACCTGATGAGGCGCAGTGAGGTTTTGAGACTTCCATGTGCTGCTTTATACATCGCTCCGCGGAGGACGGCCAGACTAGCACTCCGTCCGCTCATGGGCCGTCTTGGGATAGGGGGCCTCCTGCGGGGGTCTTTCCGACTCCTCGGGCTCGAATCGAGCAGATTTCCCCTGCTGCCGATTCGAACCGACTCGATCCGGAGATTCCGATCTGCGATTCCGATTTCGACTTCGCCCGATCCGACTCCTGCCGATTCGATGTGGCAGCCGGCTTCGGCCGATTCCCTGCCGATCTGGCTTCGCTCTGGCTTCGCTCCGGCTTCGCTCCGGCTAAGCCCAAACGCACCCTGAGACAGCCACGGTCTGCGAAGGGGGACTGGGAGGGGACAGCGGGGGAGGATTGTGGGGGAGGGAATTGTGGGAGGGGACTGGGAGGGGTCTGGGGGAGAGGACTCTGGGGGAGGGGACTTGGGGGAGGGGACTGGGGTAGCGGACCGTGGGGGGGGACTATGGGGGAGGGGGGTGTGGGGGGGGGGACTGTAGGGGGGATTTTGGGGGGGGTAGAGTGGAGGGGGACAGTGGTGGGGACACTGGGGGGGACAGTGGGAGGCACAGTGGGAGGGGACAGTGGGGGGGGGAGGGGACAGTGAGAGGGGACAGCGGGAGGGACTGGGAGGGGACAGGGGGGGGGACTGGGGGAGACAGTGGGAGGGGCATTGGGGGAGGACAGTGGGAGGGAACATTGGGGGGGGACAGTGGGAGGTATCGTGGGTTTGACAGAGGGAGGGGACAGTGGGGGGGACTGGGGGGGACAGTGAGGAGGGACAGTGGGAAGGGACAGTGGGAGGGGACATTGGGAGGGGACAGTGGGAGGGGGGAGGGGACACTGGGAGGGGACAGTAGGAGGGGACAGTTGGGGGGGACTGGGGGGACAGTGGGGGGGACAGTTGGGGAGACAGTGGGGGGGACAGCAGGAGGGACAGAAGAGGGGACAGTCGGTGGGACTGGGAGGGGATTGTGGGGGGGGACAGTGAGTGGGGACAGTGGGGGGACAGTGGGGTGGACAGCGGAGGGGACAGTGGGAGGGCGCCGTGGTGGGACAGTGGGGGTGTTTGTGGGGGAGGGGGCTGTGGGGGAGGGTACTGTGGGAGGGGATTGCGGGGGGGGACTGGGGGAGGGGACTGCGGGGGGACAGTGGTGGTGGACGGGGATGTCGGCTGGGGAGCCTCCCTTCGCCTCTCCATCAGCACCCAGGCCTTGGCCCCCGACCCGAACCCCAGAGCAGTAGAGGTGAGGGAAGGAGAGAAGACCAGGAGGAATTAGGCGGGGAGGTCCCATTCACTACCAGAACCCCGTACTGGGGAACTCGGGCATAGACCTTGTTCCATGATGCCGCATCATCGGGACATCGACCCTTGCGACGCCCGTCCTGGAAGAAATGCCGATGATAGAGGCACGAACAAGAAATCGAATATTGGCACCCTCAGATCAAAAGCACAAGCAGCACACGCACACACAACACACAGACACATGACATGTGCACACACATGACAGGCGAACCCCGCGCACTCCCCACAGGAGCACTCCGTTATCTGCAGCTCCCAACGCAGAAAGCCCTTGGACCACCTCACCCTCCCCCTAGCCCACCCCCCACCCCCCGAGCAGAGGAGAGAGCGAGGAGGAGAGGCCATGCCTCAGCCCAGCCCCGAAGTACCACGTGAACGCGAGGACTTGGGACAGAAGTTGAGACCAGGCCCCGAGCGCGCTGCCACGCTATCGCCCTGAGAAATGGTGCAAGACCAACTCCTGGCGCAGGGGGAGTGGGCTCCACGTCGTCAGGGTGCCAGACCCCGCTCCCTGGGGGGCGGTGCAAGACCACCTCCCGGCGCAGTGGAGTGACCAGATGGCGACGACGCCCCAGCGGACAGACCACCCGAGCACATTCCCCACCGGGGCTGTTTTTCTTTCGTCTCCTGCGTCTCTACTGGGCCATAATAGCCCTCTGCGCGCGCTTATGGCGGCGCCTCCCCGCCCGCCCTCCCCCCCGCCCATCCACCCCCTGTCAGTCGGCGCTCTACTCCGCGGAGGTCGGGGGACCACAACTGCGCGGCGCCCCGGAGAGGCGCCCCATTTCGCCTGCCGGTCCCCGGTGATCAGGCGGGATCCAGCCTCACGCTGCCCGTTGTGCGGGGGAAGATTCTAGGAATCCAAGCGCCCTCGCACATACATGGCAGCGAGCCGTGCCCGCCCGCCCCACTCATAGTAGTCTGGGCCAACGTATAGCGGTGAGGAGCACATGAAGGGTCGTACCTGGGACGTGTTCCACAAAGCGCACCCCCACCGCACCAAGCCTAGGTCACCGTGAGGCGATGAGAGAAGTTCGGGCCGGGTGGAACCCGAACGATCCCCCATCTGTGGGTTGGCCGCCCCCAGGCGCCATCGCAGTTCTGCGCGCGCACTCGACCGAACGCCCCCCCGGACACCCAGAGAGCGTTGCCCCTCGGCTCAACCGGGAGGTTTGGGCACTTCGAGCCTATTTCGGCGCCGTACCGCCCAGTCGCTTACCCCGAGACGCATACTGCTCCCGTCCGACTCGGCGGTCTATGGACGTGCCGGTGCGGTTTGCGGTCACACCCGGCACCGCGGCCCCGGGAGCAGGGCGTAGGCCGGTGAGAACTACGGGCGCGCCCCCCGACGTAATAGCTAAGGCTGGACGTGGCACTTGTTTCCGAGGATCCGAAGACGCTGCATGGAACAGCCCAGGCACGAGACCCGAGACCCTGCATGCACCAACCCAGCACGCATGCCACGCCGCGCAAACATGCAAGCACACAAATACACGCCAGGCACATGCAACACTCACACGCTCGCACGCGCGCGCAAAGACACTCTACCCGTCTGTTGCCAATATTCGTAGTTCCGCCGTGCCTGCGGGGGGACAGTGGGAGCGGGCTGTGTGGGGGGGACAGTGGGAGGGCACTGCGAGGGGGGATGCGGGGAGGAGGCGGCTTCAGGCGATCGCGACCATGGATTAAGGGGGCGTGGATTAGCAACGGCTCCCCGTTCCATGGGAACTCGCGGATTTCCCCTGCTCAGCGAGGCGGCACCGGCCGCATTTTGGGGAGGACACCTCCTCCGATCCATGGATTAGGCGACCGCGCGCCAAATCCATGGATCGCTAATCCATGTTTGCGCGCCCCCAACGGCGGTGGGGGCGACAATGGGGGGACAGCGGGAGGGGACAGTTGGAGGGGACAGATAGTTCGAGGGGGGAAGGGAAAGAGGGGGGGGACAGTGGGGGGGACAGTGGGGGGGGACAGTGGGGAGGGACAGTGGGGGGGGGCAGTGGGGGGTGCAGCGGGGGGGAAAGTGGGAGGGGACCGTGGGCAGGACACTGTGAGGGGACAGCGGGGGGGGACAGTGTGGGGACAGGGGGGGGGACAGTGGGGGGGGACAGCGGGGGGACAGTGGGAGGGGGACAGTAGGGACTGTGTTGGAGGGGGGAGGGGACTGTGGGGGAGGGGACCGTGGGGGGGAACTGTGGGGGAGGGGACTGCGGGAGGGGACAGTGGGAGGGGACTGTGGGGGAGGGGACAGTGGGGGAGGGGACTTTGGGAGAGGGGACTGTGGGGGAGGGGGCTGTGCGGGGGATTGTGGGTCCGTTGAGGGTCGGATGGGTCCCCTTGGGCCTGTGGAGGGGACTGTGGGGGAGGGCATCGTGGGGGAGGGGACGGTGGGGGGGGACAAAGTACTTCGCAAGCTGGGCGCGGCCGGCCGCTTCTACCCAGCGCCATTCGACGCGCCCGATCGTGGCCTTGGAAATGTGGGCGATGCATGTGGGAGCCCACCAGCTGGCAGGGGGAAACCCGTGCTTGCAATTCAGAGGCCCTACCAGACAGCATTTGGCATTCTACTGTTTCTCATCGTGCCAGGGGGCACGGTAGCGTATTCAAGTGTGCAGGCTTGCTCGTCGTCCAGTTTGTTGGTAGGTTTGGTTCATTTCCTTTGGTGGTCTCGCCCGCCACCTCGTGGAGTGTGTGGGTAGTTACTTGGTTTGCGACAACATATCCACTTTATCCGGCAACTTCCCTTTCCCCATCTCCTCATCCTCCTTCGTCTGACCTATGCTGCTGAGGTGGTTGGCGGCTTCCTTGGCAGGGTGGGGCGTAGACTGCTGAGTACAAGTGTTCCTCCTCCTTCCTCCTCCTCCTCCTCCTCCTCCTCCTCCTCCTCCTCCTCATTCCTCCTCCCTCCGCCTTCCTCCTCCCCTCCTCCTTCCTGCTCCTCCTTCCTCCTCCCCCTCCCTTCGTGGCCTTCTTCTTCTCCCCCCTCCTCGTCTCGTAAGGGACGAGCCGCCGCCAGGCACACCAAGTTCACCATCGCAGGCGTCCCCGGGGAGAAGCAGGCGCTCCCCCTCCTTCTCGGGCCCGCTGGGCGAGAGAGGGGGTGAAGGTGGCGGTGAGGGGGGTGAAGGGGGTGGGGGGAGGGCGAGGAGGAGGAGGAGGAGGAGGAGGAGGAGGAGGAAGGAGGATTAGAGGAGGATTAGGAGGAGGTTAGGATTAGGAGGAGGAGGAGGGGAGGGGAGAGGAGGAGGAGGAGGAGAGGAGGAGGGGAGGAGGAGGAGGAGGGGGAGCGGGAGGGGAGGAGGGGGGGGAGTGGGAGGGGGAGGGGAGAGGGGGAGGGGGAGGAGGAGGAGAGAGGAGGAGGAGGAGGAGGAGGAGGAGGAGGAGGGAGGAGGAGGAGGAGGGAGGAGGCGGAGGAGGAGGAGGAGGAGGATTGGAGGATTTTAGGAGGAGGATTAGGAGGAGGATTAGGAGGAGGATTAGGAGGTGGGGAGGAGGAGGAGGAGGAGGAGGAGGAGGGAGGGAGGAGGAGGGGGAGGGGGGGAGGGGGAGGGGGAGGGGGGAGGGGGAGGGGGAGGGGAGGGGGAGGGGGAGGGGGGGAGGAGGAGGAGGAGGAGGAGGAGGAGGGGGAGGAGGAGGGGAGGAGGAGGAGGAGGAGAGGAGGAGGAGGAGGAGGATTAGAGGAGGATTAGGAGGAGGGAGGAGGAGAGGAGGAGGAGGAGGAGGAGGGAGGAGGAGGAGGAGGAGGAGGAGGAAGGAGGAGGCGGAGGAGGAGGAGGATGAGGAGGAGGAGGATCAGGAGGAGGAGGAGGAGGAGGAGGAGGAGGCGGAGGAGGAGGAGGAGGAGGGGGAGGAGGGGGAGGGGGAGGGGGAGGGGGGAGGGGGAGGAGGAGGAAGGAGAGGAGTAGAGGTGGATGGAGGAGAGGAGGAGGAGGAGGAAGGAGGAGGTGGAGGAGGCGGAGGAGGAGGAGGAGGCGGAGGCGGAGGAGGAGGGGAGGAGGAGAAGGAGGAGGAGGAGGAGGAGGAGGAGGATGAGGAGGAGGAGGAGGAGGAGCTGCTACAGCGCGAGCACCACCGCTGGCGGGCGCTTCGAGACCTCCGTTTGACCAGGCCCCCCCCCCCCGGGTGATCGCTCCGTTCCAGCTGGGGATGGCGACGTCTTAACGACGTCCATGCCATCAGCGCCAGCGACGGGTGGCGGAGGAGCCAAACGCAGGCAAAGGGAGTCGTTTGGGGATTGCTCCTCCCGCCTCCGTCCCCCCCCCTCCATCCTCACTCTTCCTCCTCGTCCTCCTCCACCTCGTCCTCCCCCACCGTTCTTCCCTCCTCCTCCGTGTCCTTTCTTTCTCCTCCCTCCCCTTCCTCCTCCTCCTCCTCCTCCTCCTCCTCCTCCTCCTCCACGGGGAGGTGCGGGCTAGCAGGCTGCCGAATTGCATTGGAAATGGTGATGACGAGAAGATTGGGGCCAGATCCAGGATGACCAGGATGAGCAAAACGACGAGAAACAAGCAGAGGACGAGGAAGAGGAGGAATGAGGAGGAGGAGACGGAGGAGGCGGAAGAGGAGGAGGAGGAGGAGGAGGAGAGGGAGGAGGAGGAGAAGGAGGAGAACAGTGAGGATGCGACTGTGACTCCAGAGTGACCCCAGAGGGCCGCTCGGACGGTCCACGAGAGTAGAATGAGGCGGCTGGGAGGCAATTTCAGGATAGGTTGTCATGATGATGTTAATGCTGAGGCTGTTGCTGCTAATGCTGATGAGGTTACTGATGCTGATGCTGCTGATGCTACTGATGATGTTGAGGCTGGTAGTGCTGATGACAATTCATGATGCTGATCATGCTGCTGATGATGATACGGCTGCTGCTGATGATGATAATGATAAGGATGGTGATGAGGATGCTGCTGATGCTGATGCTGCTGATGAAGATGATACCTATGATGCTGATTTTGTCGATCATGAAGATGCTGCTGATACTGATGGCGACGATGATGATGTTAATGCTGATACTGATAATGCTGATGATGCCGATGCTGATGCTGATTAGGTTGATGCTGATGCTGTCGATGAGGATGCTGCTTATGCTGATGCTGCTGATGATGCCGATGCTGATGCTGATGATGGTGATGCTGATGCTGATCGTGCTGCTGATGCTGGTGATGCTGCAGATGCTGCTGATGGTGCTGCTGGTGATGATGATGATGACGATGCTGATGCTGGTGATGTTGATGGTGATGCTGATGGTGGTGATGTTGATGGTAATGACGGTGGTGATGCTTACGCTGATGATGAGTATGATGTTGCTGATGGTGATGACGCTGATGACTATGCTGATGCTGATGCTGATGCTGATGCTGCTGATGATGATGCTGATGATGATGCTGACTTTGCTGATGATGCTGCTGATGGTGCTGCTGATGATGCTACTGATGATGATAACGATGACGATATTGATGCTGCTGATGATGATGACGATGACAATGCTGACGATGCTGCTGCTGATGCTGATGAAACTGCTGACGATAATGCTGCTGATGATGATGCTGATGACGATGATGATGATGATGATGATGATGATGATGATGATGATAATGATAATGATGATGCTGATGATGATGATGATAATGATGATGATGCTGCTCATGCTGATGATGATGATGATGATGCAGATGATGATAATGATGATGATGATGTTGCTCATGCTGATGATGATGCTGCTGGTGGTGGTTATTATGATGCCGATCATGATGCTTTTGATGATACTGATGATGCTGACGCTGATGATGGTGCTGATGGTGACGGCGATACCGATGACGATGATGGTCACGACGACGATGATGATGATGATGCTGATGATGATTATGATGATGATGATGATGCTGAGGATGATGATGCTGCTGATAATGATGGTGTTGATGATTACGATGATGCTGATGATGCTGATGATGATGCTGATGCTGATGATGCTGATGCTGATGATGGTGATGCTGATGCTGATGCTGATGAATATGGTGATGATGCTGATGATGGTGATGGTGATGGTGATGGTAATGCTGATGCTGCTGATGATGATGATGCTGATGGTGCTGATGATGCTGATGCTGATTATGATACTGATGCTGATGATGATGATGATGATGATGATGATGATGATGATGATGCTTCTGCTGCTGCTGCTGCTGCTGATGATGATGATGATGATGATGATGATGATGATGATGATGATGATGATGATGATGGTGATGGTGATGGTGATGGTGATGGTGATGATGATGATGAGGAGGAGGAGGAGGACGGCGGTGGTGGTGGTGGTGGTGGTGATGAAATGAGGCGCTTGTATGGGAGCAGGAGGAGGAGGAGGAGGAGGAGGAGTAGGAGGAGGGCGCCTCGCTGAAAGAGGCGATCCTGATCCCCGACACAGTCACCCTCGATCGCCAGCTGCTCGAGGAGATCTGCGATGTCATCCGCAGGGACCCCACTCCTCCCCCCTTCCTCACTCCTCTTTCTTCTTCTTCTCCTGCCTGGATGCTGGGAAGTCGGCAGGTTGGAGGCCGTCAGCCTCCCAGGAAGGCATTCTGAACCAACTGTTTCCGGAGGAGGAGGAGGTTGAGGAGGAGCAGGAGCAGGAGCAGGAGGAGGAGAAGGATGAGGAGGAGGAGGAGGAGGAGCTGGAGGAGCAGGAGGGCGAGACGGAGGTTGACTGCCCAGAAGGGGGGGCGGGGAGGGGCAGGTCAGGAACGGGGCGCGAGAGATGGCACGTGGGAGCGCCCTCTTTTTGCACCCCGTGGTGGTGAGGAGCACCCACCCCGAGCCCGCTCAGAGCAGCTCGGTCCACTCCGATCTCCGAGCCTGGGCCGCTCCGGCCTCGGCCATCTTGTCACAGGGGCCGGCTTCCCCGGGGCTTCGGCCGCGGCCCTCCCCGCCGGGGGTGTCGTGCGGCGATGTGCTGCGCAGGAGCACATACAGTCGCAGACCCTAAGAAGGACGCGCGACTTTGCTCATGATGCCCTTGCGTCCTTGCTCTTCCTCGCTCTTGCGTCCTTGAGGTGTTCGTCGTCCGCCGCCCCAAGCCTCCCAACTTTCGCTTCCAAGGGTCTTGCGTCCTTACCGCGCGTCCTTGTCAGGGTGTTTGACTGTACTTGAGCATGTCGTATACGTTGAGCAGGATTTGCCAACGAGGGTCATGTCGCGCTGACGGCGGTCACTGAAACCGGTTACGGCCCTCGAACATGCATAGGGCCTCCAGAGCCCTGAACATCATAATGCAGCTGTGTGCGATAGTGCACACGGGCACTAAATGAGTAGATGGGTGGTCAGGCATCATTGAAAGCTGTAGCACATGAGCGCTTGGTGTGCAGCCGCGTTCCACGCCGTCGCCGATGTCATTGTTTTCGGCAGAGATTCTGGACGGGGCCCCGCATCCTGGGCAGATGCGCGGGTACGTCGGTGGGCGTTTGCGTCCAGGGCATCCGTGGCCCCCCCCGTTTCCTCGGTCTGCCGCAGGGGCGCGATATACACCCCACGTCGTCTGATCGACAAAGGGGCCAGGGCATTCTGCGCAAGGATTCTTACAGACGCTCCAGCGTCCTCACGGTATGGGAAGTTGGGGCGCCTCTACAGTCAAGACGCTGAAATAAGGACCGCTTTGGGCGCGTAGGGCTCAGGAGGGGATCGGTTTTTCGGGCAGTTCCTTCGTGGAACCCGTTCGTGGCCTGGAGTGTTCCGTCGCCGTGGCCAGACACGCCCCTCTTCATTCCTTCTCTTGTTTCTTAAGGTAGCGCCATGAACTGTACCTCGAGCTCCTTGGCCGACCAGAGGGTGTGGTGTACACCGCGAGCCCGTCCCAGCCTGGGCGGCCCTGCGGAGGTGAGGAGGATGAGTAGGAGGAGGAGGAGGAGGAGGTGGAGGAGGAGGAGGAGGAGGAGCAGCAGGAGGAGGAGGAGGAGGAGGAGCAGGAGGTGGAGGAGGAGGAGGAGGAGCAGCAGGAGGAGGAGGAGGAGGGATGCGGCCGCAAGACCGCGACGCGCACCGCGTCGTCGCCCCAGCCTGCGCGCGACGGCGTCCCCCAACACTCGGTGGCGTCCAAGCGGGGGGTGATGGCCAGCGGGGGGGGGGCGGGAATGTACAGTCAGCCCGCACAGTAAGGATGGGCAACCTTACCAAGGGTACCCTTGCCTCCTTGCCTCCTCGGCCCATCCTTGGCCACTTTCGTTGGCCGCGCCCCGTTCGAAACGCTTCGACGTGCCCTCACAGGGCCCTTGCATCGTTATCGCGCATCCTTACTATACGGGTTGACTGTATCGTGGCCCGGGCCACGATATCTCCCAGATGTCATGCCCCCCTCTTCACCCCCCCCCTTCTCCGCCGCGCACCTGCCTCCGGCCAAGACTGGAGGGTCCCCCTCTCTGGACGCTCCCCTCGTGGGCGCCCCCGGGACACCGCGAACGCCAGCGCCGCCATCGGGGCGGCCGCGACTTCAGAGCCCCGGGCGGTCCACGGAGGCGAGCGCCCGGCCGCGTGCTGCAGGACCCGCCGAACCTGCTCCTCAGCAGCGTGAGTTCCCTGTGCCACCCCGCGGTCTGCCCCCCCCCCGCCCGCCCCGTTCAGTCAGGGGCAACGACAGGGGGGGGATGGGCTGAGGGGGGGATGCATCGGCTTGCAACCGCCCATTCATCGCCGATAGGGGCCCGACAGCCCAGCCCGCCCAGGAGCGTGCGGGTTCGCGATCGGGGGCCTGTCGCAGATCTATCGGCGATGTATCGCAGATTCCAGGTCGATGTCCGCCTCTCTCAGGTTCAGTAGCAAGTCGTGCGCGCCTTGAACACCCTCGTGATTCCGTCTTCACAGTGCACTCGCGTCGATTAGCGTCCAGTAATCGATGGGGAAGCGCCGATTTGGCGTCGATTGGCAGCGATTAGCGTCGAGTAGCGCCGATGTAGCGTCGTTGTAGCGTCGGTTAGCGTCCGTCGGCTAGCGTCGATTAGCGGCGATTCGCAAGAGCCAACAAGATGGTATTGTAGGCTGACCTGAGTTGCCACAGAAAACTCGGCGAGCACTTGCGAACCCTACCCCTGCAGGTCCAGACGGCGCTGGGGTATCGGACACCTCCGTTGGTGTCTACCTGGCTGCAGACATCCTCCAGATTCTGAGCCTGGCTGGCTGTTTTTTTCAGAAGTCCAACCTGCAGGAGTGGGGAGCACATGTGGGCGACGCAGCAAAGCGGGGTCTTCTGCTCCGACACTGGCGCGAGAGCTGTCCGCGCAAGGTCGCGCGCAAGCACCCGGGTCTCCAGGGCGGCGTGCCGTGCTGGCGGCCCGCGTAAGGTCGCCGCGTCAGGTCGCCGCGCCGTCTCGCGCAAGGCCCGTTCTTGATCGGCGCTCGTGCGGTCTCCTAGGCAACGGGAGGGGGGACACGGTGGGGGCCCACGCCAAGAAGCACCCCGCTTGCCTCCAGGATGCCCTGGGCCTCCTGGGCTTCGAGGGCTCCGCGCCGGCGCGCGTGGCGTTCCCGCGCCAGAGATCGCTGGACGCCCTGGGGTCTCAGGGTTGGGCTTCTCGTGGAAGGTTTCCTGTGGACTGGCCTCCACTGGGGGCTCCCGGGGGGGGGGTGCGCACCGACCCCCAGTCGCCCACTCCTCGCCGAGGGGCTCCCGCCCCGCCCCAGGGGGGGCGTGCTCTCCCGCGATCGGGGGCCCGCCGCCGAGCGATGCCGGCGGTGCATCGCCGGCTCCGGGTCGGTGCTGCTCCGCCCCTGAGCTGGTCCGCCCTGATGTGGCCTCTCGCCCGCGCCGCGCCAGGGCTTGGTCAGCACGACGACCGACGACGACGACGACGGCGACGACGACGACGACGACGACGACGACGACGGACGGCGACGACGACGACGACGGACGACGACGGACGACGACGGACGACGACGACGACGACGACGACGACGACGACGACGACGACGACGACGACGACGACGACGACGACGACGACGACCGACGACGACGACGGGGTAGTGACGCCGGCGGGCGGGTCGGGCAGGCGGATCGGCCAGGCCGACAGGAGTTTGTCGTGCCGTGCGAGGGGCGGGGGGGATCGGGGAAGGCGGGGCCGGTAGCAGATCATGGGAGCCTGCGATGTAATCAAATTTACGTCTTTAGAGTGCATGAGCGTGCGCTGGCCTCTGGAAGTCGAAGAGAGAGCTTAGACTCCGCATGGATTCGCGCCGGTCAGCGTCGGTTCGTAAGAGCCAGCACGATGACATGGGAGGCTCCCAGGAGTTGCCAAAGCAGGGGACACGTTCATGCTGGTGACCTGCTCACCGTCATCACTGTGGGGTAAAGCTGGGAGCCCTGTGCTGTGTGCCTGCCCCGCGTCGTTGCAGGACTTGGTCGCCCTCTCCCCGGCACTCCGTTCGGCCCATGCTCCAATGGCTGGATCGCGTGATCGTCGCTCGACTATACGGGTATAGGTCGGGCGTGTCCCCCTGCAGGGTGGGGAAGGTGCGAGACTCGCTGCGTGCTGCCGGTTTCTGCCTCGCCGTTGGGCGCACTCCTCGACACGCTGGCGCCTCGGGCGCCGGGAGGTGCCAGGAAGATCGGCTGCACGAGCGGACCTGCTTCGGCGGCCCCCCCGTCGGGAGGGGGAAAAACACAAGCGTCCGAGTCCAAGAGGAGGTGGGGTGTCTACTTACAGTCCTCCCTCAGGAGGCCCAAGTGGGGCCCAAACCCTAGTAGCACCCATGATTGTTGCTTCCTCGCCGAGGCCGTTCTGGACGCTTTCGCGGAGTTCCTGGTCCAGGTCCAGGGGAGGGGGTGGGGAGAGGGGTGAACCCCTCCCCAGAGGGGAAGAAGAAGGGACCCTGGGGTGGGGCGGGTGGATGTCATTCAGGAGGGGAAAAACCACGCAGACACAATTAATCGCCGACCCCTAAGAAAATATAGGAAAATATGGGAATTGGGCGGGAAGACAAAATCCCAGAAAATATGAGAAAATATGGGGCATCATTTTATTTGTGTGTAGTTATTTGTGTGTCCTTGTGCCCCTTGAGTCATGGCCGGGGCCGTGCTAACTTATCCCCCCGCTGGGCCGTGCTGTCGTGACCGGGGCGATGGCGTCACGGCGGTGCCAGGCCCAGGTGGCCCAGCGCCGACGCGGGAGGAGCCGCGCCGCTGCGGTTGCGGTTGCGGTTGCGGTAGCTGTTGCTGCTGCTGCTGCTGTTGTTTTCGTTGTTGTTTGAGTTGCTCTTGTTGTTCTTGCTGCCGTTGTTGTTGCTGATGTTGTTGTTATTGTTGTTG